ATTATAAAATTAAATTTACATATCATATCTAAGAAATTAGTACATGATATAGTACTTATTTATGTATTTCGTTAAATTGATAAGTATTGTATTATTACGAAATACATTAAATATATAATTATTGCCAATAATTAAATTATTTGATTTGAGATTGTTACATATAATATAAAGTGTAAATTAGGTATATAGCATTTTTTTATAGTAATATTCTCAAGTTATAGCACTAGAGTTTGAATTTTATTGTATAACATTTAATATCTCAAGTTATAGCATTTTAAAAAAATATATAATGTTAATTTTAAATTATTAAAAAGAGTTGTTAAAATAAAAAATAAATTAAAAAAACGGACAAATTAATAATGGAAAAAATGGAATCTTTTATTAAATAAATTAAATATAATTATTAATTATTGTTAATAAATTAGCACGTTTTAAGGAATTTTAAATTTTTTTAGATTAGTTAGCTGCCTTAATTTTCTCAAATTAGTTTAAATGATATTAATTTTTGATTTAATTCCTTGAAAAGCTCTACCAAATTGGCATGAACGTACATGTATAAAAGTGTTCGATTTTTTTTAATTGTTAGATCTAAAATATAATTTGTATGTTCTTTTTTTGGATAAACAATCAAGTTACGTATGGCATTTTGAAAAACGATAAGTAAATATAAATGTGTTTGAGTTGTAATTAAATTGCAGATTCGCGTGTCAGTTGATTTGTGAAGAAAATAGAAAAACATACATTTATTAACTAGACAAATAATAATTAGATATAATTCTTTGTACAGGTGAAGTATTACAAATGTATGAATAATGTCTGAAAAATTATATAAAATTTGTATTTAATGGTAAAACTTGCTCAGATAATATTCAAAAAGTAAGAAGATGTAATTCTGTGTACTGGTGAAGTATGAAAATTGTATTAATTATGTATGAAATTTATAAGAAACTTGTATTAATTGTGTATGAAAATCTATATTTTGTTAAACTTATAATATATGTTTCTGTTGAAATTATAATATATATATTGTATTAATTTTGTATAGAAACTATATTCTTTTTGTTTAATTGAAATAGTGTATATGTCATTGAATGATATATTAAATGTGTATGAAGTTTGTATGAATTATTTTGATAGGTACAAATACAAAATCAGAAATTGGTCCACATTTTAGACCAGTTACAACAACAAATTCTTTTAACCCAAGATGTAATTTTGTACCATTTACATTCATAACAAACATGTCATCCCTGTCATTTTTAGTTTCAAGAAAAAATATATGTCGTGACATCTGACATTGAATTTTTATGTCATGCAAATCATAAAAAAATTCAAACGGTGTTTCTTGCAAGAATTGTTGAAACTTGTCTTGACCTAGGAAGGTCAACAGATCCGCAAACACATTCATGTTAATACATGAAGACAAATGTATTTGTATCTTCTTCTCCTATAAAATTGGTAAATTAAATTAATACATTTATCATACTATATAATGTCATATAAAATCATATATATATTGGTATGTTAAATGAACATTCAATTCAATTCATATACAAAGCATACAAAAATTGTACATCAGTTCATACACAATGCACACAATATTAATACATATTTAATTTTTTTAAAAAATAATAATTTATGACTTTTAAACTATAAACTACTACTCAAACAGTACCACTACATTAATTCATACATCAAAATCAGAACATAAAAAATATACAACTTTAATACTTTTAATAAAAGTAAAAAATATGCGACATACAACACTAATACATTATTCATACACAGATATTGTAATAGACAATATAGCATTTCATACACATAGCATACAAAGTTAATACATTAATGCATTCCTATAGTGAAATATAGTAATTATTTTATACACAAAATCATACAACATTAATACATTATTATTTATCAAAAATCATACTTTGTTGTAATCCAATTATATATTCACAAATCATACAATATTAAATCATACAATATTCATATATAATTATAATATACAATACTAAAAACTCAACTCATATATAAATCATACAAATTTCATGTACTATACTATTAACAAATAAAATCAAAATTAAACACACTTAAATCTTTTTACTGACCTTAACAACTTGTTTTGGTTTATTTGTGGCTTATCTCTGACCTACCAATTTCAATGCCTTTTATTTTTTTTGATTTTGTATTTATTAATTTGTCAGCAAAATCGTACTCGAATTCAGATGATGCTTGAATTTCTTTTCCTTTCCTCTTCTTCCCTCTTTCCTTTGCCTCTTTGTTTTTATTTTTTTCCATCTTTATTAATTCGCAAGCAAAATCTGACTCGAACTCAGATGATGTTTGAATTTCTTTTCCTTTCCTCTTCTTCCCTCTTTCATTTGCCTCTTTGTTTTTGTTTTTTTTTCATCTTCGATTTCACTGACCTAGATTTCTCTTTTCCAGTTGATTTTTGTGTTTGAGTTTGTGACAAAATGTTAAATAAAGGAGCAGGAAAGTCCTTAGATCTTGATTCATCGACCAATCTTCTACTTTTACGTGGTGTTTCACTACCTTTCTTCGATATTCTATACGAACATAGTATGGATGTTTGATTTGGGGGATGAACTGATATGTGAGGGATAATGGGAAGATTTGGGGAACAGTAAGGAAATTTGGGGAAGATGATGTTTTAGGCGTGTGGGGGGAAGATTGAGTGTATTGGGGAAAAATTGTAGTGTATTGATTTGAATGGGGGTGGGTAATTATTGGGTAACTGTAAAATAGGGTGTAAATTAAAATCAAATCCCTATTATTTAGTTTTTGTCTTTAAAAAGGTAATTATATAATGTGAATTTAATTAATAATAATTTTATTTTAAAAAGTTAAAACTGTAAAAGGTAACTGTATAATTAATAAGTAAAAATTTAAAGAGTTTAGTTTTAAAAAGGTAACTGAAAAAATAAAAGTAATTATTTAAACAAATTAATTATTATTTCAATAATTATTTGTAATTTTTTTAATTAATATACTTTTATTGAGATGCTATAATTCGATAATAATTTGCTATAAGAAATTTATTTTTAAAAAGTAAGTTTATAACTTGATATATATCATTTTAAATATGTGTGGAGTGTTATTTTTATTAATATAAATTAGTACTTATGTATCATGCCCGTATAGTTTGACGTGACTATGTATCATATAAAAAAGTTATGAATATGATAAACAATTGATACAGTGTAAAAAAAAAAACAGTACCACACATACATAACAAACATATGATACATGGGTAATGACACTTTTTGTGATTCGTTTTTATCCTAATTTTTTCCATATTTATTTTGTCATGTCCATGTATGATTGTTTATTTTGTGTATGAAAATTACTCCAATATTCGATTACATGATTTTTCAAATAAAGAACTGGAAAGAAAAAATAAATACAGAACTATCTCTTGATTAGTTAACTTTAAATTATTAATTGGAGAGGGAATATTTAAAATTTAAAATAAAGGAGTGATAAGGTAACTAGTGATATAGTGGAGTATTATAGGCATGAAAAATAAAGGAAAATAATTAAGTTGGAAGATTGAAAGTTATGTATATAAAAAGGAGAGAATTTGAGAAAAAAAAGAGATTTTTATAAATTTTTAAAATAGTATGAAATAATGGAAAATAAGACAAGAAAAGATGTGTAATTTTTTGATATTCTATTATGATGCAACCTATGTTTTTTGTTTTTTTTTTTTGGCCTTTGTTTGTCTTTCCTCTTTTTTCTCATTTTTTTCTAAATCTAATTTGAAAGAAATTTTATTTACTCTATCCGTTTGTATAATGAAATTTATTTATTTTAATAGAAAATATTTTAAAATATTACTATTTTTATTATTAAATAATTACATAATAATATAAAATTTAAAAATATGTAAAAAATGAACAAGTATTTTTAAATTATGATCGAAATTTTCGGAGATATAACTTAACGAAATTAAGGTTTTATTATTTCATCAATTTATTTATTTTATAATTTTATACACCTTTTGTCTTACTTGACATACTCTATGGCTCCACGCAATTGATTCAAGTGAAAGATATTTAGATGTCACATAAGTCAAAAAGGTGCACAAAATGAAATTATCTTTTTTATTTTGCAAAAATATTCGAAATAATATTGACGTTAAATACAAATAACATTTAAAAAGTGAAACATAAGCTAAAAAAACACATTGTACCGACATATTTCAAAAATTAAAATATACCTTAAAAACAGATTGTATTTCAAATTTTCATTATCAAAAATCAATTTAAATAAAGTGAAAATTATTTTATAAATAAATAAATAAATAAATGTGTTTAAATAGATCCTGAAAGTAGAAGTAAAAAAACAATAAAAAATATGAAGACAAATTACCATAAATGAAAAATGGTAGAAAAAGAAATAGAAATAATTTTAGGGATCATAAAATGATGAGTGACCATCCAAAAAATTAATTTTAGTTTTATGCTCATAACCTTTTAAGTATAAAGTAATAAAAATTATAATTTGAAAAATATTTCCAGTTAAAAAATAGATAAGTATATAACCAAATGTCGTCTTTATCACTACTACATATATACAGAGAGACACAGTTATATTAGATAGCAATGCTTACAAATTAGATAGCAAAGAAAGGAATAATTACCCCCTGTTGGTTTCTGAAACGAATTCCAGCTTTTGTGCCTGTTTTGACAAGTTGAACAACTACATACATATTACTGGATTGTTGATTGGCATTTTGATTACTTTGGTGGTGTTCAGAGAGACACTTTGTAGGGGCTAGTTATTGATTTATATTAATTCATTTCGTCAAGTTTTTGGTTTCTCATATGTATCGGATGGTGTAAGAGGGTCGATTTATTTTTATCGAACATCACCCTAAGCAGTCTTGCAAACGCCTAACAACACTCAGCCTATCTTACACCCACAAATTTGACTAAGTACAGAAATACTTTAACAGCAAAGTTAAACAACAAACAGAATTTAAAGGAACTCGTCCAACCTTTATTAATCTGATAATTAATACAAAGGGAAGGCTTCACGAATTTGTCTAAGGCCAGAAAACACACTCCTCTAAGCCTTAAACAAAATTTCCACCCTTATTAAAATTTCTGCACATGGCAGTTACATGCGGCAGTTACAAATGACACATGTCCGACACTTGTCATCACAAGATTCAAACTAAGTTTCCAACAGATATATTTCTAACAGATAGACTCTAATTTAAATTACATCCTTATCCACACGAAATATTAATATTTTAACACTTAGAATATTTCAGGCTACATTCCAACACTTAGATTATTTCAGCCAGCTTCCAACACTTAGAATATTTTAGTTGTCCTCCAACACTTGGTTTTATTTCAGCAATTTACGTGGAATGCCTTTGTTCTTACCATCGTCAAGTCTTCACAGTTTTGCCTTGTCAAGCCAACACGCTGCCTTGCCGATGACTCTAGCCCGCACTTAAGCCTTGCATGTTCAAGTTGCCTTGCCAACACCCAAACACCTTGAACCTGTGTTGCACTGTTTTGCCCTCATTCATGTCAAGACCAATGCCCAAGTCCTTGACATGTTTGTACGTAATTAGATCAAGTAATTTACGAGTCTAACAGATGGAGATTTAAAAAAAGGTCTGTTCTTTGTTCTCTCGTTCTTCCTTCCACTTTTAACTGAATTCAAGAATGCAAACTTAGTATATAGTACTAATATATACAAAAAGCAAGAATTTTATGAATTTCAAACACATGGAATTTTGCTCAAAATCATTAAGGAAGCTAGTCAGTACATGCACATTCTACCAATTGGCTCGTGCAAGAAGATAAAAAATTAAATATCATATAATATGCACAAATATATCTTAATTACCTTGATGTATATTTTCTTCAACTTGCTCTAATGTATTAGAGAGAGCTATTGTTGAGGAGAAATTGACAATCCAGCGCTGCCTCTTTTTTTGTTGTATTTTCATCCGCTAAATTAGTAGAAAATGCACGATGACTCACAAAAATATTTTACAGAAATAATTAATATCTAGAAGGTTGAAACAACAAAATATACTTGGACATTAAAAAAAATATATATATATTTTTCTAAAATGCAATGAAACAATTAACATCTACATTTGAAGGTAGAATTGTTCAAACTTCACCCATATATCCCCAATTTTCAACTCCAATCACACGTTAATGTTGGTTGTATACTTGTATTTACTAATTACTATGTATTTATGTATATCAGGGCAAGAACAATTGATACATGTCTACCCTATTATTACATGTAACTCAACAATAATTGATCGATTCCACTTAATGAAATCAAAAGAATTTTTAATCAATTTTTTTTATTTCTACCCTTAATATTAACTAACGTCATAAAATAATAGTAGTCAAATTTAATAACGTAAAGGTCATAAAAATAATATCAAACTTTGTGATAAATTTATTCTATTTATAATATTAATGAACTTAAAGAAAAAAATTATAAATACTTTGGTTAAAAAATAAATTATATATAATATAAAGAGGTATTACATATATATGTGATATAAATGAATAATGCATAGAATACAGGGGAGTTTGGTGATTGTTCAAAATTGAGGAAAAGTTTGATTTTTAAAGCAAAGTTGGAGGGTGAATATTTTTAAATACTCACTTTTTTCATGGTCAAATGGACAAAAATGTGTGTGTGTGTGGGGTGTAGTGGTGATGGTGGGATCAAATGAAAAATTGTGAATACCGCGTTATAAAAACGAACCAACCAGCCTAAGGATTATGATATTAACATTTCGTAACACAAAGCTAAGGCTGAGAGTGAAAAACCTCACACACTTGACCAGCAATTAATTGCCTAGGAGAACTTTCTAGGAAGCTACGTTTCAGAATTGCTTTAGAAAGTAGAAATGAGAAAATAAGTTCCATAACTCTTTGACCAACTGAATAATACAAACCTCAAACAAAAACTTGACTAGAATATACAATTGAATTTTATAAAAAGCATTTCACTTTCTCAAAAAATTAGCAAAAATTCAATCGTTAATCATAAAGTAATGTCGACGCACAGAGTATATTAACAGAGGCGGACCTCGAGCACCCATTAACTTTGCTACGAAATATATATATCTATGTAGAAATTGATAGGTATTTGTATAAAATTAACATAGAGCACCCAATGAATAAATGATTTAGTTGGCCCAATGGCTCCTGAATGGGTATTTAAAATTTTTTTAGCCTTGTTGTACCAAGGTTCGAATCTCACTGTTAACACGCATATTTTTTTTATATTTTCACTTTAAAACACCTACAACCTTAAATTCCTAGATCCGCCACTGAGTATATACATAATAAAAACAATATTACTGGTTTGATCTGGTTCAAATTTTGCCTATGTATATTGTGGTCTTGGTGTTTGAAGGATCAGGTTTAGAATATTAATTCAAAATTGACTTCATTATGGCGTTGTTGGAATAGTAGGTTGCTAGGAAAATCCCTTTCCTCCCCTCAGCCACACTCTATATTTTTACGTAGCTTTTGTTAGATCCTTTTCAATCATATCATATCATGGTCGTCTTAGGTACATCTTAAAAAAGAAGTAGTGATCATGAAGTACGACGACAGTGCTGATCAAAGGTGAGATATATATATATATACAGGTAGCTAGGTAGGATGATGGAGGTGGATCATGAAGACATTGAAGCTCAGCGGAGTTTCCCGCTATCAATGAATGATGAATTACGTAATTTTAGTTTGATGATCATGAGGAGGTTGGTGTTCATTTTTCTATCTATTTACAACTTCATTGAAGCTGCAGCAAGCATATCATCACTTTCATCAATATCCAACACTCATGCCACCTTGAGTCTTCAACATGGAGTAAGCATAAATAATACTCCAATATTTCATTTCTTTTACAACTACATACTTTTATAATTAAAATATACTAAATTGAAAAATATAGATAAATTATTTTTAATAATACTAGTCAAAGAACGTAGGTTTATTAATTAATATATTTTCAAAAGGCAATATTATTCAATTTAATATCATTTATAAATTTAAATTTTAAATAATTATTTTTTATTTTTTAAAATTCAATATAACCTTATGATTATACTTGTGCAATAAAACACTACACTTGTAATTAGGGTTGTGCATTCGATTTTATTTGGTTTGAATTTTTTAATTTTTGATTTTGAAGAAGTGTAACTCAATCCGACCAAAATAAATTTGGTTTGATTTTTCTCTTTTATGGTTTGAGTTTTTTCGGTTCGATCGGTTATAGCAATAATTAAGAACATAACGAAGTTATATTTGTAATTTGAAAATGAATTTTATATATATATATATATATATATATATATATATATATATATTAAAAATGTAAAATACAATATTTAAAAGTATATTAATTATAGATGTCGAAACAAAAAAAAATTAAATAATAATGAAAATAACTAAAAAGAAAGTGGTTAACTCCAACTTAATTCTCTCTCTATATATATGTGTGTGTTCAATTTTTCGATTTTCATTTTTCTAAAATCTGAAACTAAACCAAAAAATTAAACAAAATAAATATTTGGTTTGATTTTTTGATTTAACCCAAAACAGTGCACACCCCAACTTGTAATTACACTGTGACAAACAAACAAGTCCACATAATTATTAGGTTGTGTAATTTACTAGGCTGATAGCTTTCCAAACACTTACATATTTCTTAACATCGAGTATTTAGAACATTATCTTTTTCCTATTCCAACTATATCATTGATTTGTCCCTCTAAGTTTTTATATTGTTTACTATAACAAAAATAATTTTTAGTAGTATTAAATATTGACATTAATAATAAGTGTTAAATTTTTTATCGGCATTTGTTAAGTGCTATTAGAATCAATGTCGCTAAAGACTTTAAAAACATATAAAAAAAAGTGATAATCGCTGCTAAAAATATATGTTTAGCGATAAATGATCGATTTTGTTCAAAGTGGTTACAACTTATCAGAGTTACATTTATGGCATAGTCTTTATCCATAATATCATAATCAATTAGTGTCACTTGTAATTTATAGATAAATATGGTCACTTTATAACTCTTTCGCTTAAAAATAATTTAGGAGGTGAAAATGTTGTGAAAATATTTTAATTACTTTATATTTAACTTATTAGATATTTATAACATTTTTAATTATGATAGGGGTAAAATGGTATTTTAAACTTTACTTTATGCTTTTGAGTTAAATAATGACACAAGTCTCATATTGACGGTTAATGAGATTAGCTTTAGGGTGTAAGTAAAGTCTAAGACCTAATTTTCGCACTTCTCACTCAGAGTCGTTTGGTAAAATGTATAAGAATAGTACAAAATAAGGTATCTTAGTAATGCTTGCGTTAGTTATGCAAACACTGTTCTTATACGTTGTTTAGTTTGATGTACTAGAAATAACAAAATATTGCATAATTTATATTTAAAAATATGTGTTTACAAAAATATTCTTCATACTTTATTTATTTTTGCAATTACTTGCAACAAAGTTCTTTGCTAAAACATCATTAACATTTAACTCCTCTTTTTCTTCTTACTTTTAAAAATAATATTAAATAGTTATACTATTTTGAATCAAAATAATTTTGTGAAAAGTTGGCAAATAATTTTTTTTGTCAAATCTATCACCACAAGTAAATTTTTTGATTAAATTATGTTGAAAATTAATTTTTTTTTTAAAAAAAAGATACTACTTAAGAGGCCATAAAATCAAATTTTTGGCTAATATAATCTTTGAAGTATGACTAAAACTTAAATTACATACTTGTGTTATATAAGTGAACAAAAAAATCCCTGAACTATTCAAGAAGTTGCAACATTCATCCTTTTATCTATTTTTTTAAGAACTCACGCCCCAAAAAAAATGTGTCAAGTCGAATGAATATATGTACACATGGTTAAACTAATCAAGTTAGGTGACTTTTTTTTATTTTTTGAAATTGAGGGTTAAATTATATTCAGACAAAATATATTCAAATTCTAAATATTCTTTGGGAAAAAAATACTACTCCAATTTCAAAAATTTCAAATAAAATAATTATTTTTTGTTTTTAATAACTAAATACCTATGTAATTTCACTAAATTTCCAGCATTTTTGTAAATTGTATAAAATGTGAACATTGTATATATAGTATACACCCCTCAATATTTTACTAAAGAAAATCTCTAAATAGTTGGAAGTAATATATTTGAAATGACTTTTTTACATAATCTTTCTAACCTTCGGACGTACTGTATAAATATTTCAAAACTTATGTATTGGTGCAAGTCAGTTTACTAGATGATGCAAAATTACATACTCTATAAACTAACAACACACGAAATTTAATTAAATTCAAGATTCATTTTCTATCCATATCCTTATTTTTATTACATAACTTTGATCTTTTCGTCGTGACACAGACGTGATCAAGTTAAACAAAATTTTTTTTATTGGTTCAACAATGTTTTGACAAAAATAGGCTGAAGAATGATTCTTGTTATTTTTTAGATAGTATAAGAATATTTTTTGCTCACTTAGATAATATAAGGATGTACATTAGATTTAAATCATTGTTGACATATATAATTTTAACCAAAAACTCCCATAAAATCTATCAAGACACTAACAAATTAAAAGACATTGAAAAATAAGCAACAACAAAAATAAAACACATGACAAGAAAGAAAATGAAAAGAAGAGAAGAAGTTAGGAAATGTTTTAAAAAGCTTTGAAGGTAGTTTAATTTTGTAATTATTTAATCTAATGCAAGTATTTAAATGCTATATATAATTAATATCTAAAATTACTTGGTATATGTAATATAAAATAGAGTGTATAACATTAGTTATACATAGTAAGAAAAAGTGTATCAAACAAGGTACCACTAATACATACACCTAGATGCATGCATTATATTTCCTAATAAATTCTACCAATATAGAATATCTATGTATACAGTTTTAGTTATGTTGATAAAATTAATTAGAGGGATTATATATGCTTTGTGTCTACTCAGAACTCTGAAGGTGGTGGAGATGAAATCCAGATTGTTGAAATTGTGGAAGCTTCAGCTCATGTTAATGTTGGACAATCAAACCATGATCACTGCGAGATTGAGCTTCAGAGTACTCATCAGCAATGCTTACAAATTAGTGAAGAGATTGTGAAGTTGGATTCACTTCACAATTTTGAAGGAGTGAAGGGGAGTACTGTTGACAAGGGAATTCAAGTTGGAGACATTTCTAGGTGCGACTTGTCTCATCACATGCTGATCTTCGCCGGATATGGCAAATTCATGATCCGAAAGTTAGTATGCAAGGAACCAACTATTTTGCTCCTTGCAGTTGCAGCAATATTGTCGTTTGTCTTTGGAATCAAAGAAGAAGGTGTGCAGAATGGTTGGTTTGAAGGAGCACTTCTGGTTGTGATTATATTTGTGATTGTTTTGTTTAAGCTAGCACGTAATTGGTACAAAAGACACATTTGGAAGAAGCAAAATGAGAACAGAGCAAGGAAGGACCAGCCGTTTATTGCTGAAACGGACTCCAGTTTCTGTGCCGACTTTGACAAGTTGAACAATTACATACATATTAGTGGGCTGTCGATTGGCATTTTGATCAGTGTGGTGCTGTTCATTCGCTTTAAATTGGGGCATAAAGATGATGATAACGGATATAGATTGGAAATCAAGGAAGAACCAACTGAAATTGCACGGATAATGAATGCCGTGAAGAAGGTTTTGACAGAATCAAAGGGAACAGTGAGAGTTATGATAACTTCTCTTGGTATCTCACTGGTGGGGATAACTGAAGGAGTTCCATTTCTTATTTCAATAGCAAGGGCATACTGGTATCCAATTTTTGATGTTAAGATGGAACCAGTCAACACCATCTGTATAGAAAAAGTTTGCTGGTTGAAAGAGCAAAAACTGAAAGTTACTCAGTTTCTTCTTGACAAAAAAGATGTTGCCAAGATTCCCCCGCATGTCTACAATGTTCTCTCTGCTGGAATTGGTGTGTCCCCTCTGACTTCTCAAACAGCCTACCACAGAGTAGAACAAGCAATACTCTGTTGGGTAGAGAAGAACTGCGGTATGCAGAGAGACTCTTCCAATCAGCAGTTCACCAAAGTGAAGGACAACGATGATGAGATGAATCCTTTTGAAGGACCTTGTAGAGTTGTCATGGAGAAAAGTGGAGACAATGGGAAAGAGTACTATTCATATTTCAAGGGCCCTACTGATTCAATATTGTCAATGTGTTCAAGTTACTATGACACGACCGGTGAATTGCATGATTTGGATGACGGAACAAAGAGTGGCATTGCTCAAGCTAACAACAACAACATGAAGGTAGTTGCATTTGCCTTCAAACACACTCATGGCGTTGCAGAACTTGATGAAAATGGACTAACATTCATTGGTAGGTTTGTCTTAGAAGATGCTTTCAATCTAGACAACATGAGGCAAGGAATTGATAATCTGAAAGAAGGCGGAGTGAAGATGATATTTGCCTCGGAAGAAGATGTTGAAGTGCTTTGTACCATTGTTGATGAAACAGGATTGCTCAACTCACGTGAAGCTCTAGTAGTTAGGGGCGAAGATGCTACAAAGGAAATCGTTGATAAAACTTGCATTATGGGAAATTCCTCTCCCACATGCATGCTTCTTTTAATAGAGCAGTTGAAGAAAAGAGGAGAAGTGGTGGCTGTGGTAGGAGAACAAGCATCTGAAAGTAATGTGGTTCTTGAAGCAGCTCATTTTAGCCTGCCTGTGGTGACTAACTGGCCTGAAACTATAACTTATGTGATTAACAGCATCAAAGGAGGAAGAATTGTTTGTGAGAATATGAGGCAATTCATCCAAGTTGAGGTAATCTTGGCAATCAGTAGCTTATTAATAAACTTCATACTGGTTATATTGGACGGAGATGGTCCATTAACAGTCGTTCAGTTGGTATGGGTTAACCTTCTTGTAAAATTTATTGGAGGGCCAGCTTTGCTAATTACTCAACAGGCCACAAGACAACTAAGGGATGAGCATTTTATCATATCAAGAAAACCACCAATTACCAACGCTATGTGGAGAAACATACTTCTTCAAGCTTCCTATCAGACTGGCATTTTTGTATTCCTTCAACACAGAGGAAGTGCAATACTCGGCGTCACTTCAAAAATTAACAGATCTATAGTCTTTAACGGGTTCGCTCTGTGCCTGCTTTTTAACATATTCAGTGCAAGGGATTTAGAGCAGAAGAATTTTTTCAAAGGTCTTGGTCAAAATTACTTGTTTTGGGCATTGTCTGGGCTCTATCTTGTGTTGCAGTTCGGATTCATTGAAGTAGAGGTTGTCTTTAGCAACACGGCTCGACTGAATTGGAAGCAATGGATTGAATCCATGTTAATTGGTGTTGTCACATGGTTGATTGATGTGATAGTAAAATGGGCATCACAATACATAAAGATAAGCAAATATTGTGACTGTGGAGTTCTTCATCCAGCCAGAAACTGGTTACAGAATTGGTTTGCTAGAATCAACTGCTGTGACAGTGGACTAACAAGTACACCAAATTCCACCCTTGCTTCCTTGGATTCTCCAAGATCCACTAGTGGAACTTAAGGTACTACACAAATTTATCCACGCTCTACCTCATTACACTAAGTTCAAACAAAAGTCTTTCCCCTTTCTTTCTAAAATTTTGGATTCAAGTTCTAATTATTGTTCTTTCGCAGGGCTGGATAATAAAAAATATCACACGTCGTGTGAAGCCAACCAAGCATAGAGATAATACTTTGATGGATTTTGTCATATGTTGCAGTAGCTTCGATTTTTAGTACATAGTTTCTACTGATTTCTTAGATACACCTGGAGAGCAACAATAAAATTGTCTCCGTGTAACCAATAAGTTACGGGTTCAAGCCGTTTTGGAATCAGCCCCTGATGCTTTGCATCAAGGTAGGCTGCACACCTCACACACCAAAAGAGTGTCGGTCCTTCCGGGACCTAGTCAATGCAGGATGATTAGGTCACTAGGTTGCCCTAATTTTAGTCTGTAGGGGCTAGTTAATTTATGTTAACTCATTTTGTCAAGTTTTTGGGTGTCTCATTTGTGTTGTAGGGATACAAAAAATGTATGTTCTTGTTCTCATTCTTTCTTATTTAAATATATACAAAAAAAACAAGAATTTTATGAATATCAAACACATAATATTTGCTCAAAATCATAAAGGAAGCTAGTATGTACACATTCTACTAATTGGCTAGCTCGTATAAGAAGATAATAAATATCATATAGTATATGCAAAAATATAACTTAATTACCTGGATCTTGTTTTTCTCAAACTTGGTGTAATGTATTAGACAAAGCACTTGTTGAGGAGAAATTGACAATCCATTGGAAGAGACTTTTCTTCAGCAAAGTCAACTGCCAGTCTCCATTCTTTACTACATAAAATATATATCGTCCATCCCAACATGGATTTTTATAAGATTATTTTTCTTCAATTTTGGACACATTTGTCTTTTATCCAACGTGTCTTCAATAAGTAGAGTAGGTTAATTACAAAATGTTACCATTAAGTAATTTCTTACTCCATGTATTTCAATTTTCGTTACAATTTTTTTTTTCTTAGTTTCGGAAAATAATCGATAATATCTTTTCTACAAATATCCTAAAATCTGATTTAACTTAAAAAAATCTCATTTTATTGTTTATGAGATGATTCATAACCACAACAATATTTATAAATAACTTTAGATCTAGGGATCGTTTGGTTGGAAACAAGGTATCCTAAAATTAATTATTTTGGAATTTGATTATCCTGGGATAAGTTATCTCACCATATATATGGGATAAATTATCTCAAACATGGCAATCAAATAAGACACAAAATTTTTATCTCATCACTATTTTATTATTTTATTACTATTTATTTTTATTCCTCACATCAAACCAACCGCAAGTTTAAAACAATCTTTTAGTTGAAGATGAAGAAAAAGTTATGTGAAATTCAAGCGAACACACAGAATTCAAATTGTGAAAAAGTCTTGCATAAATAGAAGATTTGAAACTTCATTTGCTTCTATTACATGTTCAAAATCACTATTTCAACCCTTGTTTTCAAAAATGTTTTTTTCGTCATCTGGACGAGTTTCGTAGCGGAGCGTATCAAAAATGTTATAAGGCACAAATTTAAGACATAAATTTATAGGGCGTAAGTTTTAGAATCCTAGGCATAAGCTTCAAATGTAAAAACGTAAGCCCTGAGTGTAAAAAGTGTACGCCTAGACGTTTTTATTCTTAACCTTTTTTTGCTTCAAACCATATTTTTTATTATTTATGTAATGATATTTCTCAAATAGTAATTGTAATTTCTTTTTCTTCATTATTGGTTATTAATACCTTTCTCAAATTAAAATCATAATATTTTTCTATATATTATAGGTTTATTTATTAAAACCTATTTGTAAAATAATTGAAAGTATTACTTTTGTTTATTTTCTTAGTTATTTATATATATATATATATATATATATGAGACTACGTCCCGTAAGTCCATAAGACTTACGCCCCATGTCTCGAGGCTTGCGTCTCGCCCTGTATGCTATAAAACATTTTGTCTCACGACCCCGCCTTTTAAAACATTGAATTTTTCAATTTATAATATATGATATTTCACTTTGAAATTAAAATTCTAAATGTAAAATTCATAGTCAAATTTCTCATTGAAAATTATCATTTCAATATTTGTGTGACCCAAATTGGGCTGGCCATACAAAAGGGAAAATTACGCAGTTAAGCAAATTTATATTACTTAATACTTATTATAACTATAGTTTGCTATAGTTACCACTCACGATTTACATTATATATTAGTTATATAGGTTGACTTCGAGTTTGTCATTTGTATATGTATAATTTGCCAGAATATACAAATACATATATATAATATACAATTATTTAATCAATATACATATACAATTCACCTCTCTCTCACTCTCCTCCATCTCTCGCTCTCCTCTCTCCTCTCTCCCAATCTCGCTTACTTTTTATACAAATGCATATTTATACTATACAATTATTTAACCAATATACATATACAATTATTTAACCAATATACATATACAATTCACCTCTCTCCCACTCTCTGCCCTCTCTCGCTCGCCTCTCTCCTCTCTCCCAATCTCGCTTGCCATATATACAAATACATACGTATAATATACAATTATCTAACCAATACACATATACAATTCACCTCTCTCTCACTTTTTTCCCTCTCTCGCCTCTTTCCTATCTCTCTCCATTACAACAAAAATAACTTTTAGCGGCAAAAAAAAGATCCATTATTATAGAGTGCTAAAGTCTTACTGGCATTAGTAAGTGTCATTAGATCCAATGTCGCTAAAGTTTTTAGGGACATATACAAAGAGTGTTAATTGCCGTTAAAAATACATATTTAATGGCAATTGCTAATTAATTGCTGCTAAAACTCATTTTGATGTAGTTCTCCCAATCTCGCTCACCTCTCTCCTCCCTATAACATATAGCAACGAATTGTAATTAACAAACTGTAGTTATGTAAAATAATTAGGCTATTTTTTAGTAATTATATATGAAAAATCCTCGAAAAACTAAGTGTTATAGATAACTATCTTTTTTACTAACCCGTTCATATTTAAACAGATTGGATAATTGAAATTAGTGACCATGAAACTAAAGGGGTCAAATATGGGCTTAGCCCATATTCAATCACTTGGGTCTTAAGGGTCTAGATTCCATAATATTCCATTAAAATGAGCCCATATTGCTCACACGTTTCTTTCTTTCTTTCTTTTGTTTTTGTCATTTGACACAAACAGTGAATACTTATTAGAGCATCAAACATTTATATTATAAATTAATATAATTTAGCATGATTAATTAAATAATCTGATATAGTGAAAATATGTATTAAATAATTACGGGGTTAATGATAAAAAAAAAATTATCTATAAACACATGTCATACATTTTGTTCATTTGGTCTGAACTTTATATATGAATACAATTTTATCATTTTAAGAAATTTATCAATTACTCTTATGAGATCCATTTAAAGTAACGATGAATCTCCGTTATCTTTTCATACCGATTATATTCTAATAATTAGAAATTGTTACTCTAAACAAATTAAAATTGGACTTGAATTACATATATATCACTAATTATTATTTCATCACAACATCAACTTCAATATCATTGGTTTATTATGGGATAACTATAGCTTTAAATACTTCAGTTAACTAATTTATAAAATATATAATAATATATATTTCATATTCATACTCTAATATATACTATACATATAACATATACGGATCATAGTACATATGTTTGTATTTATTTCAATAATGTATCATTGATAAATTTGTCTGCAATAACTATTCTAATATTTATATCTCGATGAATTAAATTTAACTTATTTTCACTCGATCTATATATTTTAAATTATTTAAATTTAATTCGATCTAATTAAACGAAGCGCTGTACCGCATTGGCAAAGTTAGAAATTAAAGGCGTATACCTTTCTTTATTTAGAAATTGGCAGAATATAGGTGGTGGGAAATTGGGGTGGCCTATACCTTTCGATCTAGGGAGTTGGGATCTTTGTTTCATAGTCTTTATCTCTCCCTGTTATATTATTCTCTCTATTTCTATTTCGTTGTTCATATTATTCTTTTTATTTCTATTTAATCGTTTATTTTAGAAGTGAAATAAATATTAAAAGATCAATTATTATTATTATGTAATTCTCTAAGTAATAATAAATATATTTTTTAATTTTAAAAAGCATGCATACAACTTAGTAGTATTAGAAAAATTTTTAAATTAAATAAAAATATATTTGAAAAAAATTATTATCTTTTTTTTAATTTATTAAAATAAAAAAATAAATATAAACAAATAAATAAAGACAAAAAAGTTCTATTTAATATTTGAAATTTTGCTTGTAACTTGTGAAAGCCACATTTAATTTCTGACATGTATGTGTTTTGTGGCCCAATTACCTGTTTCCTTTGGATCAAAAGGTTTTCTAGTTTCGTCTAAATTGACTTGAGAGTTCACAATAATAACGATAAGATTTACAGTAATTTGCACTCCCATGATATGGATGGGTGACCGCACTTTTCTCTAGACAGCCAAAACTTGTGGTCAATACTCCCTTTCTTTCAAGTTAAGTGACAGAGGTTCTTCCGGTTTAGCTATCGTTGGGTTATAAATTTTTTGAAATATTTTTACTAAGACTTGTTAATTCATGTGATATAATAATATAAAATTATGAGATAAAATTAAAAATTTTATTTAAATATGTGATATAAATTTTTTATATTATATATTTTTATAAATATAATAATTTCATAATTTTACCAAATAAACAAAAAAGTTTATAAAATCACAAAATAAATTATTATAAAACTATTTCTTCTCCACTTAAGTAACTGCTTCGTCTAACTTTGATTTAATTAAAAAAAAACTAAACATAAATTACATCATATTTGTCTTTAATATAATCCTCCCAAATATTACGAATAATTTTCTCTTATTGAACTCGCATTTCTCGAGCAGGTGATCGAGAAGACGAACCAACTTTGTTACTTTGAGTTGTATCAAAAATAAAACGGTAGAAGTAATAAATTAGGTGTTGGAGTAAATTAAGAGAATAAATTTATTACTCAACAGTCGATTGGTGTGAGTTAAAGTGACTATATGTTGGTGAGAATAATAAATTTTATGTCGATGAGAATAATAAATTTTAAAAAGTAATGAAGTGATTATAAATTTTTATTTACAAATGAATTAAATGGTTAGTAGACTGTAGATATAAATATGGGATCATTATGACAAAATATAAGTTTGTGTATCAATTTTCGCATAAAAAGTATCTCAAATCATGATATGAAATTTCCATATCACGAAGAATATGAGACCACGTCTCATAGATATGGAATCATGAGATGAAATCAATGTAAAATCACATGTTCAAATACTAGTTCATTTCACGATATCACATGGCCAAAAGCCTACTAAATAAATTTTAAGCAAAATTTTATCATGTATTTGATAATTAATTTCATGAGAAAATTTTTAATACTTTTAATTAATATAATTTATACTTTAAGTCTTAAAAAATTATTAACATTACTCATAAATTTCTATTATCATTTTGTAATGAATATATCTCGATAAAAAATAACTTTATAATATAATTGATGAAATTTATGAAAATCGTTAACAATAAAACAATAATATGGTCAAGAGTTGTATAATAACCACATAGTAAAACGTGTCAAAGATTGAAGAAAAATTAGATATAGTTTTTTTTAAAAAAAATATAGTTGGTTGTAGATAGATACTAATTGGGATTGATAGATGATGAATGTTTATAAAATATAAAAGTTCGAGATTATTTTTGAATTTTCA